TCACATTTCATAATAATCACCAAAATTTATTTCAAATGTATAACTATAGAGAGAATTAATTGATTGTATTGTAATTATTTAATTTATTGGTTAAATTTATATAATAATATTAAAACTTTTCTTAATTATAACTAAAAAATCATGAAAATTGGCTAATATTATGATATTTATTGACTGGTATTAAGAAATTAACTTTATAATATATATATTTTTTAAAAATATATAGTAAAAATAAAAATATAATAAAAGTAATAAAATATATGATTTTTAGTAATTAACTAGAAAAATCATAACCAAATAAAATTTATTTGCTTATTTGCCATTAGATTATATTTTATTTATTATAATTGGAATTTAGAAAAAATTTTAAAGCATATTTATAAATTATATTATATATACAATAACAATATAACTTAAATTTGAAGTTATTAACTCTTACTTTATTATAATTTTAAACTTAAATAGTAAGCAGAATGTTCAATTTCAAACAACAAATATGATTCCAGGTATATTAGTCATTAATCTTACTATTATTAAAAAATTTGGCCTTAATATTTAAATAATAGCTTTGCAACATACTATGTTAGAAATTTTAATACATCTTACAATATTTCCAGCCAGATGTTTTTATGGATAAATCTATAGATACAAGAAAAAATAAATTAAAGATAATGTTAAAATTTCCTTTATAAAAGAATTATTCCTATTTACATCCTGGTGAAAAGAATGGCAATCAGTTTTTTGATATCACAAATGCAATTTATAATAAAATGTGAAATTTTTTTATTTTCTGAAAGAAGAACAAAAAAAATATATATTTCATTATTTAAATAATATTTGATATGATCATCTTCTGTATCAATAAATACTCAATTTAGTATTGTGTACTATTTACACTCTTAACTAGTGTTTTTTTATTATAATATTTTAATATTTTCTTAACTTTTTCACCATCCAGAGGTCAGGTTGAGACAAAATTACCACCATTGGATTCCTCTTGACTATGTGGTTTGAATGGTGATCTTAAAATTCCTGTGTGGCATCTGTGTAATGTGATAGTTTAAGAATTGTTCTGGCGTCTTTACATGTAAAATCAAAAAGAAAAATGCCAGAACTAATTATTCCAGCGTTTTTACATGTAAAATCGAAAAAAATGCTGAAACTATCTGTTTTGGCATTTTTACATGTAAAATCAAAAAGAAAAAATATAATAGTGAGTATGATGAATTTTTATGTTGCATAAAGAAAATCATTTTCCAAAAGCAATATAAAAGCTCAATAATATAATAAAAGACCATTATTTAAATCTTGTAATTGCAAGGAATCTAATAGTTGTAATTTTGTTTCAATACAAGCTTTGGTTGATAAGAAAATGAAGTTTAAACTTTTTATTTCAAACTTTCATACCAAATTCAAAAATTACCAGTAGTATTTCTCTGTGATAATATAATATAACAAAATGCAATTATAATATTTGGCAGTTAAAAGTAAGTAGTTTTTTTTTTAAAAAAAAAATTGGAATTTATTATTATGTAGGATTTGAGCATTTTAAAAAAAATTCATGGCAAATTATTATTCTCCGATTTCTATTAAATTTATAACTTCTTTGTTTTTTAGAGGTAAAATAGGCGTAAAAACAATAATAAATTTTCATTGCTTTTAAAATAGTATTCTAAAAATCCATTGGGCATTACAAGTTTTAATTTAAATAGGAAAATTCCGATCTCATATCCAAAATAACAAATGATATTCGCACTGCCATTCTTTTCACCGGGGACTGTATATTAAGAATAGGCAAAATCATGACGAACTCACTCCTGAAAGTCTTAAAACTATATGAAATGTTGTATTATTTTAGATGAGATGTAACCAATTTCACAAAATATTTTAAAGTCATGACGCCTTGGAAATAATATTAAATGTTATCAAAAGAGCTATGTATTAATGATTATAAACATAAACTATAAGTTGTGCACCACATTAATTAACAACTTATAACATCAAGTTATTATGACACGCGTAATTGATCCATTTAACAATAAAAATTTATATGAAATTTAGTAGACTAGCAGGAGATCACAACGGGACCACCAATCATAGTCATGGATTCCTTCATGAGACTTTAGTAGGACCTTCACATCTCTCTGCAAATCATGGCGTACATCGTCACGTAAAAAAAAATAATAGATGAAATACGCGGTTTGCGGTTACACATCCTATAAAAAAAATTTCATCCGTTATTTTCTGTAAAAACTCCGTAAAAATGAGCCTTTTACGGAAAAAGACGGAATATAAAAACGGGACATTACGATCATATGATACAAAATTGACGCAGGACGCAGCCGGTTACGCAATTATAATATGATCATGTGATTGTTATTTCTCGCGGGTGAAAATATTTTATATTTTATATATTTTAAAAGGGAAAGATCAAAAATCTAATTTTTTTTTTTTGTTCCACGTTTCAAAATAAAAAGTAAACAACTCATTTCTTAGGAAGTCCCATTATTGATTATATAAATTGTATACATCCGTTGTCCTACTTCAACTGATAATTATAATCTTAAATATTTTAAATATTCTAAATATTTGGTGATTAGGAATCTTCCCTTCTTCCTGATTTTTTAGATATCAAAACACCTTGAGAGTTTTTGATTTAAAAAATCAAAAAGGTCATACTTAGATGCGAAGATAATATGAATAAATAAAAATTACATAATTCGACGATCAACGATTTATATACCAATAATAGTAAATTAGTAATTTTATTTTACTAATAGTTTTTTTTTTTTTAATTATGATTGACTATATTCCAAATTAATCTGAAACTCAATATAATAAACACTTCTCTTAAAAATAATTTACATGATCGATTACTTTGTTTGATAAGCAAAACAATATTAAAGACCATACAATTATTAGATGATGAAAAAAAAAAAAAAAAAAAAAAAAAAAAAAATTTGTTATTAATTTACCAATTTTTCGTAAAAGTAAATCCTTGTACTTGTACGATCATCAAATACAGCAAATCAAGAAATTATAGATAAGATACAAATATTTACGGAAACGGGACGGTACCTTTTTTTAAATAAACAGGTATAATAAATGAAAAATGGTTTTAATGCAAATTAAATTATTTTCTTGATTTAATACATAACCCTTTTTTACTTATTGGTACAAAAAAACGGTATAAGAAAAAATAAATATATATAATAATTCCAGCCATAAATTGTACAAAAAAGTATTACGAAAAAAAACCGGCACATTTTACGGCATATAACGAAACGTGCACAATTAAGAGAAAACAATTGAATAATTGAATTCTAACTTATGTATGTTATCAATTAAAATCACATGATTCCAAGATTTTTGATTTGTTTCAATTAATGCACAATGTATCGAAGATCATACAACCGTTTAACGCGAAAATCCTTGTGGATTAGAAAAGCTTAAAAAAGTAAAATTACTTTTTTACCGAATGTTTATGTATTGCAAACTTTAAAATTACCGTAAACCAATAAATAATAAATTAATTAATATTTCTTTGTGATAAACACGATATAAATTGATATTTTATCCTAATATGTAAATCATTGAATAATTATATGTAATTGGTAAAACAAAAAGAAAGCAACCCTCGTTGATTAACAAGAAAAGAAATCAATTGTGTAAATTTTGTAAAAATTTGTTAACCTTAAAATTTTTATTCTGAGAATAAAAAATTCTGTAAATTTGTAATGACACAACTTTTGTCATATATATTACGTAACGATGTACGTAATGATAATTAAGTTTATAACCGTATTATTTCTTATTATACGATTGGTTTAAACTTTAAACCGTCGGTAAATTCCCGACCACTTTTTATAATCTTTAACGATATCGGATGATAATACAAATAAGGGATACCATTTATTCTATATTAAATAATATTTTATTTATAAAATATTTTTTATTGTAATAATTTTATTTTAATATTTTCGTGACAGGGAAAGGTTTTGAATTTGAAAATCGTTTGCTTTTCTCAAAATTTTACAAAAGATCATTATGCATAATTTTTTGATAAACCAATTAACGTAATTCGACATGATCAAGAATTATTAACTAATAATTGTTCTGCACATAAAATTACTTCGTGACTTACTGTATATATAAAGATCGACTTATAATAAAACAAAGAACACGTACAGTACAGTAAGCATTTATGATTATGGGAATAACATACAATATAATATAATTAAAGTAAATGCTTTATTACAAAAAAAAATAATAACGATAAATAACAATAAACATTTCAAGATTATTAACAATATGGATTTTATTTACTAGAGAGAAAAAAAAAAAGCTATTTAAAATGTATGTAAAAGAAAAATTTGCAACTTATCTAATTCATGATCGTATGGTACATTGGTAGGTACTAATGAATAATTAAAATGTACATTGAAATAAGAAACTTCTGATAAATAAATAAATAAATTAAAAAAATTAAGATGAAATGAAATGAAATAATGATTTGAAGTCTGTTCAACTGTCCATATTTCCTTTAACCTTTTCAACCCTTTTAAACACTTTAAACCCCTTTGACCCTTTGACCCCTTTGACTCCTTTGACTCCTTTGACTCCTTTGACTTCTTTGGCATTTATAACTTGACAATAAATTCACGGTTCTTATTCATATATTCTGGCACCCAATTTACATTACTTGCATAATCCATAAAATAAGTTAATAAATATATAATTGAAAATGCCAAAATTATATTTCCCCCGTACGTTAATAAAATCATTTTGAAAAATTCACGTTTCATGAATACTTGAAATCCTTCATTAAGCATTTTTAAGAGATTAAATAAATATAAATGCTTTAAATTGTATTTTTTTTTTTTTAGTGGTTCAATAAAAGACTTATTGGAAAGAATTTTTTATGAAAAGCTTTTGTGAAAACTTTTTTTTCTTTTTTAAAAAAATTTTTTTTTTTTCAGTGAATATTTTTTTAGATCATCCAGGAATTTTCAAACCTCTATATATAATGCAAATTTTTTTTTTTGATTATATGCTAATAAAAACAAGTCAGATTATACATCATGATCATCATCTCCAATCCAATTATAACATAATTGCTACTAATGAGGAACTAGCGTTATTTTCATTACACAAAGTTTACACAAAAAATTTGAATTCTATTCAACCTGCAAATACAAACTCCCAAACTCCTATTTTTTGTAACAGAAATATTTTGTAAACATTAATATTTTTAAAAACCAAATCAATTTCTCAAGTTAAAAAAAAGTACAAACAGACAAAGGCTAGGCTGAAGCTTTTGCAATTAAAAATATATGACATTTGTTACACGTTGCAACAACATATTATTGTAACGCGTGATCTAATTATATGTTATTAATAACTTTTTTATTTTTTATTTTTTTATTATTTTTTTTTTTTTTTACGCGATTAAAAAGATATGATTCTATTAATATTTGTTTTCAACTTAACGTATAATAAGCATCTTCGTTGAAAATTTCCGAATTTGTACTTTTGCAAAACTATGATTATCATCCATACCATTCCTATTGTAATTCTTTTTCTTCTTTTGGTTTATTCTACTGGCCAATCAAATACTAAATTGTATAAAACTTTATTATACATAAATTATCCAAAAAAGCAAGCAAGATCTTTACAAAATTTGTACATTCTAAAATTCTTCAAATGGATTCGATTTTTTTTTTTTTATTTTTTTTGAAGCTAAGAATAACCGGGAGGCTTAAATATTCGCGTATTATCATAATGGAGTTTTTCGGTGATTATAATATATATTATATAACTGGTTAAAACCCTCCATGCTGCCAGCCGTACATCATAAGTAATCCCGAAAATGTTGTGACGCAGTAAATTTCTAAATATATATAATTTTTTTTTTTTTTTTATTCACAACAAAGAAACCAAGAATATTATTGTTGTTTTGATAAGAATTGTGATAAAATTCGATTATCCATCTTTGATAGCAAAAAAAAAAACTTAAAATTATAGAGAGAAAACATAATCACATGATTGTTAAGTTAGTTAACGATGAAAATTTTTTTTTTATCAAAAAGAAAGCAATTATATCAAACTTGGACTTTTTTTTTTAAAGTCACGTGAAAATTCCAAGTTAATAATAATTAACCGGATTTTTTTTTTACTTTACACTGTTACAATACGACTAAACTAGAATGATATCAAAGTACGGTAATAAATTTTATCATCGGACAACATTAATATTTGTTTGACTTGTTTAATACTTGTTTTTTTTTATGTACGGATTTATGTACGGATATTAACGGTTCTGGTTATTCCCATTTTTCCCATCATTTCATTTTTTTGTTACCAAAACCATTAATTTGAACTTTATGAACTTTATCTCCAACCTACTTTTAATAGATAATCGTTAAACGTTATATAGATAATCCGCATAATTTAATTTTCTAAATTTGAAATTTATAATTCCGAAATAACTTTAATTCTGGAGAATGTTCAATAGAATTTCAACGGACATTACATTTTTGGTTTGTACTTTCACGAAAATGAACAAGTTCAATAATAAATTTGTTAAACGCCTCCCCCCTTGGTTTGAAAACCATTTTTTTCTGTGGTTATACATTTATACATTTAGGTTAGTCTTTGTATTACAAAATTCTATTTAACATAATTGGTTTATATCAATAAAACGCATTATTATTATTGAAAAAATTGTTTTGGATTGTAAGTTAATCAGTTTGTCAGTTTGTAATACAAATAAAGATGTTAACCCAATTTATTTACAGACTTCAAAATTTTTTGTTGGCGTTTTTTTTTTTTTTTTTTTCAAACGATAAACTTTGATTTTTTTTTTAAACTTCGTTTTTAAAAAATTATTCGTGCAATTTTTTGAATACTTAATCTCATAATTTATTATTTATAGATTCGATTCAGATACTTGGAAAATCATCCGTAGGCGGTGGAATATTATCTCTATTATGTAACATCTTTATCACAATATCACACAATATCGTATTATCGTATGTTAATTCTTAAATAATCTATATAATAAATGCATGTAATATCAAAATACTTGAATATTAATCACATAATAATCGTGTTAATTAATTACTTAATTATCATTTGTGAAAATTGTGTATCTAAAGTATCTGTTATTATTATTTTAGCATTAACTGTTAAGTTAACGATGAACCCCTGATTTAATTAAAAAACAAACATCATAAAACTCTGTTTTGTTATATATGCCCCTCAATTTTTTTTCTAATGTTAAACAATTATTTTACATAAGCCATATGGGTTCACGTAATTTTATATATACAAAATATACAAAATATACGGGAATCTGTGACGATTTCCGTGAATTTCATTCTAACCCAAGATATATGATTTAATTAATATATTATAAAAAAACTTTTCCTTTTTTACTTGTAATTTTATAATAATATTGGTCTTACAAAAGTTATTTAATTTATTTATTATTTATTAAATATCTATAATATTGGTTTTACCGGTGAATGATTATTAAATAATAAGAATTACAAAAACAGTTCATATAATTTGTAAGTTGTATTTCATTGTTTCGTACTTTTTTATAAATATGAATGAGTGAACATTAGGTTACATTTATATTACATGATATCGTTTACTAATTTGTGAAATCAACAAAAAATTTAATAGTACTACTATGATTACTTTATATAATTCAGGAAAAACTTATTCAATTATACATATTTAATCAATTAATAAAAATTATTAGTATGGTTGGTAAGAAAATCATACACCATAAAAATTGACTGTTTTTTAACAAGTACTTATTATTATTTTATTGTTCTTAAATCTTTGTAGTTGGGAATCTTCAATTTATCAATTTAATCAATAATCTTTTTTTGTAAACTTCTTAGAATATTATTATTTTTAAGTTTGTTTTTTTTAAATATATTGTACTACCCAACTGGATAATAAAGTTTATACTTTTTTATTTTCTCATTATATCCTACTTTTAAATGGACTTTTGATTTTAAAAATAATGTAAAATATAATATATTTATTAACTTGAAAATATTCTTGAGATTTTTTTTTTTTTTGAAAATTTATTAATTGAAAACTATTGTATAGAAATTCCTTTAAAAAGTACTGTTTAATCTGTATAATTATAAAATATTAATTACTGTATATTTGTATTTTTTAGTAAAACTACTATTATTATTTTTTATTACACCAATTTAATATATTATAAATATACAATTTTTAAAACTTTAAAGTAATAAGTAAATGGTTATTTTTATAAAAAATCAAAATATAAAAAAAATTATAAAAGAAAAATAAAAATAAATTCTAAATATTTTAATATAATAAAAAAGATTATACAATAACTTTTAATTAAATGAATTTTTGCAAAAAAAATTGCAAGAAATTTTAAATAATAATTATTGATTTTTTTAAAAAATTAAATATTATTATTTATTATTAACTTATTCATAAAATACTAATAAATACTAAAATTAAAGTAATATTAATATATTTGAAAGATTTCAGAAAATTTTTATATATTTACTTAGACAAAAATAGCAGACCTTCCATTTTTGTTAATTATTCAAAATTATATATAATAATAATACTTGCTATTTTAATATATATAATAATGTAAATTCCAAAATATATATTTAAAAAATTCATACTTCTAACTTTCACACAACTATATTAATTAAAAAAAAAAAGCTTTACATTATTTAAACAAAAATAGTGAATCCTTTATTTTTGTTAATTATTTAAAAATTATATATAATAATATAAACTTTAAAGAATATAGAGTCAAATTTTTATACTTTTAATTTTCATACAGCTGTATTTATTAAAAAAATTTTAAATTCTTAATAATTGTCAAATTAAAAAAAAGTGAATGATTTTGATTTTTTAAATACTAATTGTTAATTTAAAAAATAAAAATATAAAATTCATATAATATTTATTCTTTAAAATTGTAACTTTCAAACAATATATAAATTAAAGTATTTAATTATGTAAAATTTTGAAAATATAAAAGTACAGTATTATTGTTTTTAAAAATTAAATTTTTTTTCAATTTTTATATAATTCATATAAAAATAAAAATTAGGATAAAGTAGTTTAACATATAGGGATATCTGCAATAAAAGGAGGAATAGGCCAAAAAATTCAAATTTGAGATTTTATTATAATTATATGTCTATTGGTCCAATTATTAAGAAATATGGTTTTTTATTAATGAAAAAAGTTTAATTTTAAAATTTTCTTATTATTTGCATTTTACTTTTATAGAATTAACAAGCAACATAAACTTATTAAAAGAAAATCAATATTCTTAGTAAATTGCCTGTAAAATTTAGTTTTAGATAAAAAAAAAAAAAGGTCTGAAAGTCAATTTATTTTAAAATTAAGTGATGATTTGCCAAATTTATCACGTGATTTAAATTGCGATTTTTTTAAAATTACAGAATTATCCCATCTCCCCTTTTGCTATGGGTATTCGCATATTAAGATTCTGTATTATTACATATTAAAATTTCTGTTATTATTATTATGTATAATTCTTAAATAAATAAGCAATAATAAACTATTTATTAATTTTATAAATAATTGTTAATATTTAATATATTTTTAAGTTTCTTTAATTAATATATATAGTTGCATAAAGGCTAAAACTATGAAATTTTGAATATATGTTTTTTAGAGTCTATATTATTACATATTAAAATTTCAAGTATTATTATTATGATTATTTTTTAATATACACTAATATGCAAAACATGCATTATGTGAATTAACTATGAATAAATTTTTTATAATATATATAATATACAAAATATATATTACATGAATTGACTAAATAAATTTTTTAAAATATATGTAATATATGTAATGTGTGAAATAAGCATATGATTTATAATTTATATTTATATGTAATATGAAATTTATTTATGTTTTTTGTTATACTTACTCTTTTTTTTCTTTTTAAAAATTTTCAGTTTTGCAAAGTTTCTTGTTTATTATATAAAATACTAAAAAAATCTTTATAAAGTTTAAACTATATAACCTATATATTGTAAGAAATATTGAACTTATTAATATTCAATATATACCAATAAAAAACAAAAAATTTACGGTGATAAAAATATGAACTATAATACTTTTTTTCTTCAAGTATGTTGTTTTTCTTTAATATTTCTTTTTAGTATTTTTATTTAATTTCTTTGCCTTTGTTGACTAATTAATTAATTTTTTTTTTATTTGTTGGTTTTTCTTTTACCATTTTACAACCTTAATAATGAATTTAAAAATAATCAAAATGATTATTAGCTTATTAGCAATCAAATAAAAAATATAGTTTATTTAAAAGAATTAGAGCAAAAAATTCATGATGATAAAAATATGAATT